ATTTTGTTGATATTCTAAAATCATTAATTATAGCAACTTGAATCGTGTATTGAGTACTAAAATTAGCATCATATGGATATTTTATTATTTCTAAAGTATTCTGTTAAAGTTTATGCTATTTATGGTATTAAATGCATTGAACATTTCAATCGGGTATTGTGTTAAACTAATATTTTAAATTTTTGGTTTCAATATTTTTCAAAAATATTGGACGAGATTTCTTATACGTTGATCTTACTTTAATGTTAAAAAATCCAAAATATAAAGGTACAACTTCTTTTTTTTTTTTTTTTTTATAAGCGATTGAATTTTAAATTTATGCGAAATTCGACAGAAATGATTAAAATAAATGCAGTACTTTTATATATATATATTAGTATAATATTTATTATAATACAATATTTAGTACAATATACAAGCGTACATCATCTAACATCTTATACAAAGGTGCTCGGGTAAAAGGTCTTAAGTAGTAGTTTTAGGTCTTAGTCTTTAACTATTATTATAATAGTTCACTTTTCACAACAGCAACTCGCCGAATCATGTTTTATTTATAATTAATTTGTAGGAAAATAATAAAACTTTTGCCCTATTGCTTATCATTAACATTTTAAAATAAGAATACGTGTTAAAATCATCATTATAAAAGACAAACAATCCGGAAATAACTGTTATAGGTTCTAGATATGTGTTTCGGTAACAACGGTTAATTTTGAATTGATTATCGTCATAATTATAATTTAAAACATATTGTAGTTCATATAATGCTTAAATAACGATGGGACGAAAGTTAAAACGTTAGGGTTTATTTTATTCTATATGAACAACAACACGTTTTGAATTATAATTATGATGACAATAAATTCAAAATTAACCGTTGTTACCGATACACATACCTAGAACCTACAACAGTTATTTCCGAATTGATTTGTCTTTTATAATAATAATTTTATAGCGTATTTTTATTTTATAATTCTTAATACACGATTAAGTAAGTTAAGTAAGTTTTACTATTTTCTTAAAAATAAATTATAAATGAAACGTGATGCCATGAAATTCATTATTTGAAAAGTGAACTACTCTCTTTAGTCTTTACCAAAGATGTTAGATGTTGTGAGATGTTGTTGTCTTTTCACCGGTGACGACATTCTCTTCAACATTGCCATCTTTTTGGCCTTCATTCGTTTCGATTTCGACGCGTGACAGGTGGTGTTTTGCGAGCTTGAAATCGGAACAGCCCTTGATTGGCTTCGTGTGTATGAAAAGAGTACGAGTGGGCCAACAGCTCCGAGGAAAATACATGTCCATACAGCACACATCTGCAGCTGTACAAAATGTGCCTACACCGTGCAGTTACACAATGTTGCACCAGGTGACAGGGATTTTATTAATTATTACATTTATCACTCGTTAATCGTATCAAATGGATTTTAAAATATGAAAAAATAAAGCCATTTATTACCCGACGGTTCAACCGACGATGACAACATAGCTTCATTTGTTTGCGCATCGTCGTTTTCTGTGCTGCTCTCGTCTACCGTCATCAAGTGGCCAAAATATTTCTTTTCTTTACCTAGGTCGGGCACCGGTTCGTCGTCTACGGCCCCGGGACTCCGGTCCTCCACCGCGATTTCGGTACCAAGAGCGCAAACGTTCTCGACGTATGGCCGCTGTTCGGTCGATTCGATGTTGACCGCGCACATACCATCGGCGCTACTTTCCGGAGAGTTCTCAAAGACGCGACTGTCTTCGCGATTTAAGGGATTTCTAATGCATTCTTCATTTACGGTCTCGTTACTTGCTAGATTCGTACTGTTCTCGTCAGCCGTCACATCGCAACCAGATGGTTTCATATCCTTAGCATTTCGATCTGCATCAGGCATCGTTCCTTCATCTATGGCTTCAAAACTGTGGTCCTGCAGCGCGATTCCGGTGCCAAGATCGCCGGCGTTCTTCACCTCGTACGGCCGATGTTCGCATAACTCGGGATTAACTACGTTATCGATGTCGACGCTGTTATTCTCAATGACGCCACTGTCTTCGAGATTCAAGTCCCGGACGTTTTCTACGTTCCGTTTGATCGTGTTAGTCATCTGATCGGGTTAGAATATAAATGTTTAATATCATCGCAGTGTAACAGCAGGCGACAAGCATATGCCAACGCATTGGTGTACGCTTAGTCGCAAATAGTGTTTGGGATTCGGGTTGGGAGGAGGGGCTGGATAATTATTCGTAAAATATTTTACGTACAACACACGGTACAGTGTAATAATTAGTTTCAGAAGCCCTTAGCCTCTTCGCTTTTATATAAGCTTACGTAAACGTACATATGATATTTTTCGTGAAATATTTACCAGTGCTGTCGGTCCAACATCATCCGTTGACCTGCTGTACACGTTGCCGTCCGGCTTTATGCACCTGCGATGGCAGTAATGCTTGCACACTGAGCATTTTGTGATCGGCGTCCATAATTTTCTCTTCCTGCATTCGTCACACTTACGGAACCACTTGTAAAAAGGTTTACTGACGAAAGTATGTTGGCATTGTCTGTCCATTTTTCGTTTTTTATCGATCACGGAGTACACGAAATAAAACTGGCAAACGTTGTCTATCACGAAAGACTAATGGTCGATACGAGTCTGTTTATTTAATTAGACGCACCTACCTTTATAATGTTCGATAATTTTGCGTAGTGAATTTATTTGTATGTTTATGTTGGCCAATTAATATATTTTCGGAATCTTTATTATCAACAAGTTTAACATAATACAATATAGATTTGTACACAATTTACTTTGTTTATGATGTTGTTATTTTTAATTTTGTAAATATTTTACTGTAACCTATATTTGTTTAATTGTATAAAATAATGTAAGCTAATAAATCACTCGTTGTGTTTGCTTTTCATTAAGACGATTGTTGAGGATTTCATATTAAATCTACTCCAAAATAATGAGAGTTCGATTACCATAATTCACTAGCATTTGCTTCCAATCAAAATACCTCTTCTTCTTCTTTCTTCTATTTAGTTTCAGCCTTTAAGACCATGCCACTAAATACAAATCTTGCCATATGTCTCTGTCCTCTGTAAAAATACCTCAATAGTGAAATATATTCTCTATAATAATCTACAATTATTTTAATGTATCTTTAATCATTTTTTATAGTTGAAATAGTTGAAATCTCTTAATTTACAAACAAATATAATTCCTTAAAATCTCGTATGAATGGATACATTTCAACTTATTTCTAAAAAAAATGTTGAAAAATTAATATTATAATTATATTTATAGCACTAATTAACTTTTAAAATAAGATTTGTAACATATGTACCGCAGTTCTTCGCAACTTGCATTTGGTTACAAAATTCTTTTGTTGAAATGCTTATTATAAGCTAGAAGAATTTCAAGTTAACGCAATTTTAATCTAAAAATAGTTTGAAAAATAGTAAAATAATATATTGCTTATATATTTATATTATGTATGTGAACTATTGAAGATATTTTATGTATTTAATATTGGTTTTATTCATAGTAATATTGCCTGTACACTAATTTTACATTATTATGTTATCTACTTCTTCTAATTTAATTTTGTGTATTAATAAATGGTTGGTAAAATAAATAATTTAAATAGAAATACAAAGAAGAGTGGTATTCCCATATTAATACCATGTAAGTTATTTTTTTTTTTTATTAGTGAAAAAGCGAAGGTCAAAATAACATTGACTAGGAAGGAATTATTAAACAAATTAATAACTAATAAAAATAAATTTTACTTTCAAAGACTATAATATCAAACTATCATATGTCATTTTATTAAATTTTTTTTGATTTTATTTATAAACTTAATGTTTGATGTTTATCAAATAAAAAAAATATGAGGAAAATATAAAATATAAATATTTTTAAACAAACAAGATTATAATATAATAAAATTTAATAAAACTGAAAATGTCCTCATATAAACCCCAAAATGTAAAAATCGTATTTTTTATCAACGTTTTATTATCACCGTATCGAATATAAATTTTGGATACTTAAAATAATGTTGCGAAAATAACTATGTATTTAAATTACGAGTATATACGAGTAGATGTAAATCTTTCAAAGCAAAAACAATTAAAAAATTATTAAGGAAAATTATAGTAAACGTTTTTAAATAATATTATTTTTTTTTATATTATCTGTTAATGATGGCGGTAAATTATCAATAAACCTAGTACTTATTTGTTTGTTGAAAAAATTAATTCATATTTTTGGTTATTTGACTCACAAATACACACACACATACGCGCACTCGCATATGTATTTATAGATGAATATTTATTAAAAACATCACGTTATTTTTCCTCATATAATTACTATGTACGGAAGACTAAATTAAAAAACATTTGATTACGATTTATATTACATTAGTAATATAGAATTCTTGAACTTTTTTGTAGTTGTCGTTCTTCGAAAATCCTCATGTCAAAAACTAATGCTTAAGTAAATATTTTCTCATTCCTTATGTTAATTGTCACTTGAATATATTTCTAAACTATCCGGGAAAATCATAAAATCAAAACGTGGTGAAAATATGAAATAAATCTGTTATCAAAGTTTTTGATTCTGGATATTACGTATATATATATATATATATACTAACAATATAATATCAACTTTCATGTTATTATGTAAAACTTTGTAGGAATATACGGTAATTTATTTTTCGTGCCACTCTATCGATCACAATATTTCCTACTAGATTTTTATTCATTATTTAAATTTGTTTTATACTTTTTTTAGAATTGATTCGGTCTGTGACGATTTTCAACATTTCCTCAATTTATACTGCCTTTATTATCTAAAGTATTTCTCTCTCTACTTAGTAGTCACACGTTCATCTAACTTTGTGCTTATAATAACCATACTGTTTCATATTAATTTCATCTAATAATATTCTCATCCTTTGTGTTAACAAATTTATATATTTGTAGTACACGTGTTTTTTAATGAGAACACTAATTTTAACAAAAAAAAATTTTAATATATAAAAATAAATTATATTAGAAAAACTTGTTTGTGAAAATACGTTTCCATTTCGCTTGCACTCGCGTTTAATTTATAATCCTCCGGATATTTAATCAAATTTACGCCATTATCCGTGAGCCATATTTATATTATGTTAAGTGTTTTCAAGTTGTGTAAATTCATTTTAGTATAATTATACGAAATGTAATATAAAACATGAAATAATATTTGATACAACTATAGGATTGTATACATTCTGTGTACATTATGAAATGAGATATATTACATTGTTTAATATTTTTTCAACAAATAAATATTTAATTTTATTTTGTGATTTCAAAAATTTTATATTTTAAATTTAATATTTCATAAAATACGAAACTAGGTAATATTTATTTATGTTTTTTTATTTTGAATTATAAAAAAAATAAAATCCAACCAAAATTGAAGGTAAATATAAACGTCTTATCGATTTCAGTTATAATATACAACTCGTATTACGCTTGACCAAATAAAATATTTCGGTAAATTCGATAATATATAGGATGGAATACGGTATTATAATAAATGTAAGTATAAAAATAATTATTTTATTAATTATCATTGTTTTATAGACGACATAATAATACTGTTATAGTAACATATTGATTTACATCGATGGCGGCGGACCGTTTAATGTTCGTATACTGAATGATGCATACTATTACCGGTGTTGATCATTTATTACAATTTAACAATGCTATTTATCCCTCCTGACTCGATCGAATTTGAATAAAATAACGCTTATCACATGAAATTGGTGTTATGTTGTTTTACGCAGCATACACGTAATTCGTACACGTTCATTTACTTTGAAATGTAATTAAAAACGGATCGAAATCGAAATTAATCGGTTTTGATCATTGAAATCGTACGCATAACAGATTATCAATTATATGTGCAGAAATTGAATCACCTTGAACGATGATCTCCCCATACAACATTTAACGTTCCCCGTTTCATTTGGCCTCTTAAAAAAACGTTCCATTGTCGTCATCATCTTATCACATTTACATTACCGGGTTTTTAGTGTATTATGATTATATTTTCATACGATTTTTCGAAATGTCATTGCACGTGTACTTTGATGGGCGTGTTGTTGAAAGATTCAAAATTCAAAATTTAATAATAATTAAAACTATTCAGTTTTTCGGATTTATTTAAAAATCGTCATAATATCAACCAATCGTAATAATCAAAATATTCAAAACTTCGTTTGTTTACGTTTTCCATTAGTGTACTCTATTGTATGGCAGAAAAAGATTCAATTCATGCATATATATATAGATATTTATATATTGAAACGGGTTGTATGTGAATATAAATGAATTGCATTATAGATTTTATCATATAAAACACTAAAGTCAGTTAAACGATATTGCGTTTATTATGTGTTTATAGAACTCAATTTCGTTGAAAATGATAATATCAGATCATTCATCAATAAATACATTTTTTCTTTCATATATTATTTAAATAAGCAATCGGTATAGTTTATTTTTTGGGATTAAAATTGGATTTTAATATTATCTTTTTTACCAATACACTTGATAAAAAAATGTCAGTTTTACAAAATATATTGGAATTATTTTAAAATCTTTATCCTTATTTGCATAGTGTATATTACTAACACAATATTAATAAAAATCCTGTTACATATGAACCGTTTACTGTACGAACATTCGTCAATGATTGTGCTCTACGAGTTT